TCTCCTGTTATAGCTGTTGAAACAGAGAAAAAAAAGATTTTCTCCTAGATTACAGAGTAAAGAATCTAAGTTTGATGTTCTGCTTTTAAGCTTACAGAAAAAATTGCACCCCAACTTTTTGAGGGAAGGAAGAGAAGAATCTACATAAGAGTTTGGTATATATATTATATATATGTTATATTTGCAAATAAAAACCTATAAACATAACAGTTTTTTAAAGAATATTGTTTCTATTAAAAAAAGAATATTTTAAAAGAATATTGCAATTAGAGTCAGTACTCATATATGCTGAGTCAGTAACTGATGTTTATAACTGAATGAAAAGAAAAGCAAAATTTAATCAAGAATACAAGCTGTTCATCCTTTGAAAACACGCTTGGCAAGCTCTTCCACAAGTGGCACTGACTATTCACAAAGAGCCTTAGGAACAACATTTATCCAGGGATGTTCACAGCAGTTTATAGGACATACAGAGTAACCCGTGTCACACCCTGGGAAACCAAAAAATGGAATACATCCAATGACATGACAACTGGCCCCTCAATAAACCTAATGACAACACTTAAAGCTTGAATTTACTACCCAGGGACAGTTCCAAATAAATGTTGGCAAAAATTTTGCTTGTTTCCTCTGTTAAAGTGAACACCAAGCCAACTCTATTCATTACAAAATGCTAAGTGCTCTGTGCCAAATTCTACTGTTACCAGCATCACTATAACCTTGAAATAACTCCACTGATGTGGTTTTGGTAGTCCAGATCCACAATGATTCAAATCAAAGCAGAAGTTAACCGAACAATTTTACTTACAAAGCATTGACCTGTTATCTGCACTCAACCAGATCACTGCTCTGCACATCTAAACAGTGCCTGTGTTCTATACAGGCACACCATGCAGCACATGGGTGAGAGCAGAAAGCACATACTGCATTTAAACACTACAGGAAAAGGTAAGATGTTTTAAATTGAAAATGCCATTAAAAGATAATATTCCCAGAACAATTTCTTGCTTTTAATCTGCATACTTGATGATGAATAAAATTTATATATTGATTATCTCAAGATATTCTAACTTAATAAGCACACATACCACAAAAACATGACCTAGTCCTCTAGATCATTTTTGAAATCTTGAGAGCAAATCTGTATACTTGCTGTTGGTCCTTATTTAGAAAATAATCTCTGTCAGAAATCTGGATAGATTCTATTATATTCTCTTCTGGTTAGACTTGGTGTAAGGAACTGAGAAACAAAACAGGGTATGTAATAACAAAAAAAAAAAACATTTCTGCAGGAAGTTTCATTTCAAAATCTTACGAGTAAACCTTGCAGATGACTAACCTGCACAACAACCTGTGAAATACAAAAGCATTACCTGTATTTCCCAGAAGGGGAAACAGAGCAGACTGTCTACATCATTGTAGCTGTAAGGCTGGAGTAAGAATTCAGAAGTTCAAGATTTAACCACCATGTCATATACATATTCTTCTGAATTGCACGAGAGGAGCTGAAATATAGTGTGATCCACAAAAAAATCATTAATGGAACAGCCCAACTGAGTAAATACTTGCTGGCTTGATGGTAATTTTAAAGAATAAAACCTTAAATTGTTATGAGTAGATTTCGAAACGTAAGCAGGATTCAATATCCACACAAAGTCGACGGTTTTTACGAACTATGACTCAATATGGCAAGAACAAAACTTTGCACCTTCAACTTCAGTAATTATTAACTTAAGCAAATAGTCTTTACAACCACTTTGGCACTGAAGGAAAACTGTAGCATTCTAACCTACCAATCAGACAATCAGGTTGAGAAAGAAATACCTGCTGATGATCTCTTTGTTTGGTCTGAAAAATACTAGTAACATACAGAGAGACTATATCATATTTTCATAATCCCAAGAAATAGCCTTAAGTTGAACACAAACAAATGCCTGCAAAACAAATGGGGTGAATGAAATCAGCTATCTAAAAAAAAAAAAAAAAAAAAAAAAAAAAAGTGGGACTAAGCTAAGGAGGAATAAAGAGCTGCCTCACAGACAGAAATCCCAACACAAGGAGGCCAAAGATCCAAAGATCAAGGGTAGTTGGTATATTTAAGAAAACCATTCACAGTGTATCAGTTAACACTTTGTACAGGGGGGACAGGTACAACTAAGAATACACAAAAGGGCACTGCAAAGAGCTGTGAGAAACTGAGAGAGTTAAAAAGTTAAATTGAACTGAAAGTTAGTGGAAATGTTAATAAAGAGCAAAAGAACCTTTTCTTTTCAGAATTATATGCCTGTACAAAAAGCCATGCTTCTTAAATGCAATTGATACAATGAATAAAATACAGTAGAAATTGAAAAAAAGATAGTAGCTAATTTTGACTGTGATCAGCTACATGAATATAGAAAAATCCTAAACAAAAACCATCTGTAATCCAAACATGAAATAAGAGCAAATCCCCACTGGAAAATACCCATAAACATGATATTAACAATAACAAAGAAATGAGTGCAATTTAAAATATATCTTTATAATAGTGAAAGGGAGGCACCACTTCAGACATTCTTTTTGCATTCTTTGCGATTCTGAAACAAATCTTGATATTCTCTGGTGAAAAAAAAACCACCCATGTAAACAACATAGAATTCTGAAACTGTCCTGAAACAGACTTCATCTCACTGGAAGCTGGAACACTCCATGCTTGATAAGAGGCATCCTCTTGGACTTGCCCAAACTTCCTATGGCAGTGCTCAGGGAGGTTCCATATGACTCTGCTTAGGTCTGGCATAAATAAGAGCCTTTTTGAAGTAAATGTTTATGAAGAATTTACCACTTCTCCAGAAAAATTCTGTACATGTAATTACTGAAATAGATTTCTGAAGGCACTGAGAATCTCTGCGAAGGTGCTAATACTCCAATTACTCCCAGCAAAAACAATCAACAGTGCAATGGAGGAGCAAAGGAAGTCAAGGGGAAACAAGGATGAAGAGAGTACTTTGCAATCATGGTTTTCACCTTCTGCACCACAAAGAAAGTAGTTTGGATTCTTATTCCAATAAACTGCATTTATTAAAAATGTTATTTTAGCTGTCAGTCTCTCAGGTACAATTGCAATGAATGGCCTCCAAATATATATACTGAGAAGTGAGAAAAACATGGCAGAGGAGAAATCAGAGAAACAAAGCCAGTGTAGAGACTGGGTTTTATGTAGCTTACTTTCTTAATTATAAAGAAGATATAAATATAGGAATAAAAGAATAATATAGAATAAAATCATAAATAAATACAAATAAAAACTGACTTCAGTTGAAAAGAAAAATAAATTGTAACTCCTTTTCTTTTTTTCTAGAGCACACTGCAGGTTGCTTTACTCCGTTATTAGTGCCAAGTATCATCTTAGCTTGTGCCACAGCTACAGCCTTCCTAGGAGCTGTTAGGACAGCTGCAAACATCTAGGCCAGAAACATGAGAAACACCCAGACTGTGTGATTAAGTATGAGAGTCAAGTAAACTCAAAATTACTTAAGTTCTCCATTTTCTATGAATTAAAAAGTGCAACAGGATGATACTATTCCTGGCCCTGCCTTTAATCCACTTGTCTTCTGTCAAGCTATTCTTGCTTCAGTTTCTTATATACACAATCGGCAAAAATAGCTTAGTTTAGTGACAATCCTGCAAGCAGCAGTAACTAAAAGCAGCACAATAGATCCCCGTGAAACTTCTGCTTCCTGAAGTAGAGCTTAAAGATAGAAGCTAAGACAAGAACTAAACTGCAACATAAATGGGCCTCAGCTGAAGAGGGGAAGTCCAGAGGTTTATTTAGGTCCAGCAGCAATCAGAGGTTAATCCTATGTGTTGTTTTTGCCTTATATACCACATCTCATCTTGGTGGTGAACCAGATTGCTGCCCTGTTTCTCAAGCAGCAGCTCCATCTGCTGCCCAATAGGGAAGATGAACTTTGCCTAAAAAACTTTGTTATTTACAAGCAGTATATTTGAGTTGCGCTTCCCCCAAGTATGCTGCTATTGTTAGGTAGACATGATGTTGGAGATGGTTAGACCTCAATTAAGGGTGCAGCACAAGCAAATTTAAGTATATTATTTTGAAGAACAACTCAGTTCTCACAAAACAAGAAGAAAGTTCAGTTTCTTTTATGCAGTATAGAGCCTGAGCTGCTAGACCCTAAGGACTTGAGTTAAGCTTTCTCCACACAGCATTCCATTATGAGGAGCACTGTGAAGCTTGTCTAAGTGCTACTATCCAGAGCAGTACACCTGGGGCAAGACCAGAGGGATGCAGAGCTTAGCCTGCTCTGAGACTTCTAGAACGCAGTGTTCTTAGGATTCTCTACGTTTACAAGTACTTTGGCTCTACAAGAGCTTGTCAGGTGGCGCCTAACTCCAGTAAGGCATTTGCTTGAACTATAGAAGTCCCAGAAAACCCTCTTTTCTGAGCAGCATTAGAGGAACCATTTGATAATCAAATTTATCAAATCAAAATCAAATTTAATCAAATCCCATTTATTTCAAAAGTGTTAAAATGCACATTATAAATAATTTAAAATGAAAAAAGGTAGAATATATATTAATGCAAAAGCAAAGGTAACATAATTCACTAATATAGCACCTACATATGTGCAACTAGACCAAATCATACAAAGCCTTCTCTATGCAACTTCATGGGGGCTTGAAGAAGCAGTTCCACATTATTCTCTAAATATACTGGTAAATGTTAAAAGAGCCAAGGGTGAAGACAATAAATACTTTATATTCTTTAGTTACAAATAAATAAAAAAAACTGTTTTAAAACAAGTTACAATATGCACAGACATGGGCAGTGCTTGGGGGAATGTACATGCTATATCTAGATTTTTCCTCAGAGCAGCTAAAAACACTAAGCCGATTCATACTAGATATAAGATTTAAAAACAAGCAAACAAAAGCAAACAAAACAGAAACAACCCACAACATGGTTGTCTAAGGAGGTATCCGAACCCGAATGCACTTACGGCACTCCGGCGGGGCGTCCCATCCGTGAGGCGGCGCGCAGGCTCTATAGGCGGCGCGCAACAAGTCCAACAGGTGGCTCCGTGGCGCAATGGATAGCGCATTGGACTTCTAGCGGGTGAAGGGATTCAAAGGTTCCGGGTTCGAGTCCCGGCGGAGTCGCGTATTTCATTTTATTTACTCCTTTTCTCCGCAGAAATCTTTTCTCTCTGCTTTCCTGCCCTCGACCTCAGCGCCGGAGCAATCGGCCCAGCCGGCCTGACACTCCACGGCGGCTGGTTCCTTTCAGCGAGGTTCTCCAAGTCCGCCTGTGGAAGGTGAGCCGGAGACAACGGCACAAACCTCCGACCAGCGCGGCAACAAAGCCGCCGTTTCGACTTCAAGGTCCGCTTAGGAAAGATCCCTTTTAGAACGCTTCGCCCCGCTACACTCATGCAAAATGGCCGAAGCCTGGACGCGGAGAAATGCCGTCCTCTCAGCGCCGGGCGCGCGGGCACCAACCGCCGCCAACGGCCGCCGGGCGCGCGGGCACCAACCGCCGCCAACGGCCGCCGGGCGCGCGGGCAGGGAGTGCCCTCAGCGCTGAGGCGCGCGGCAGCAGCTGCAGCAGAGCACGAGCGAGGGCAGCCGGGCGCCCTCCCGCCCACACCGCGCGCAGCGTTAAGGAAAGAAACAGAGACCTGCAGCAGCGACAACTGTCGGCAAAGCTGCCGCTGTCTCTGCAAACCAACGCGTTTACTCCGCTACGCTTCCAGAACTGCCCCCTGAAAATATTTTGAGTAGGAAATAAGCCTGCGTCTTTCCTGGAGGCACCTCTATGAGAGTCCATGTTGCATTTCTTGTTAAAGCTAGTTTTCAAGCAACAAAACAAGTGCACGAAAAGCAGTAAATCAAACTGAAGCATTTAACACTTCAGTTAACATCACCTTTTCCTCCCCACATACACTATTGCTACAAATAGATCAACTGCCTTTCTAATAATCGTGATTTAACAAGTACTAAAACGCAAACACCAGCAGCAGCACTAAAGCCAAGCTTCCTTCATTTTGATTATGAAAACTTAAAAGTTTTAATTATGGAAATTTGGTATCTTATATCCTGAGTGTCTATGGCTCCTTTTCAACTATAATCGCATTGCTGTTTAAAAATAATAAAAAGAAAAATCTATTTGAAAACTAAATATGCTACCGGTAACATTAACTTTACCTCACTCCCAGGAATGCTAGTAACAGGCAAGATGCACTAAGCTAATACACTATAAAATACAGCCCACTACAGAACCACCAAACTTTCTCACAATTCACAGAAAAAAAAAAAAAAACAATATTCATCCCATAAAAACTATCTAAATTAAGTGACAGATGACAAAACCTTCTTCCTTGATCTCACTTCCAAAAACGCATTTCTTTTCCCTTATGGTGTGGTGTGTGAACTCACATGGCTGTAAGACGGCCCCTACCTCCAGGGCAAAAGGAAAGAGGAAAACATGCAAAAACAGGGGGAGCAAGTATGAAGAAACAGGAGACATTAAGCAGCATTCATATCCGCACAGAACATTCCAGCAACATCCAGCAAGTTGCTAAAACTACAGTGTGTGCACATGTATATACAAGATACCTGTTGTTCCTTAATCTGAGAAATTTATGCTTTACAATATAGGCAAAATTACAAATTAATGCATCAAGCAGCACAGTCACAAAATATTGCTTGCAATTTATAAAGTTTCTCAAAATATGATGCTTTTTGATATATTTCAGTATTTTCTGCGAGGTAAGCTAATCATCATCTTATGCAATCACATGATGCATTTTGTTTTTATTCACTTCCCCCAATAAGTTAAAACTTATTCCAAGGACTTGTTAGCTGGCTATTGAGCATCAGATATGAAGCCATGGGTACTTGCCATTTTAACACCCACTAATGCCTGCATTTCTCTCTTAAAGCATTTCAAAGTTGTATTTTAGTTTTCCAATTTCCAATTGAAGATGAAGCAGAATGACAACTACCATGGTGTCTTGTTTTCCTTCTTCAGTATCCAATATAAATTTCATTTTACTTCCATGTCTCATTCACAGAACAAGACATCATAGTTGTTTTTATGGGCTTTTTTTTTTATCAGGCATACATATAAAAGTATTAGAATAGCATCTGTATATTAGATGAGACATGGGGATAGATGTTTCTACTTGTATCTGTTTGATACTTCCCAATTAATTCATTTGTTGCATCAGTCATCTCTGAGCAGCAAACACCTTTTAAGGAACCTAAATTCCTGTCTTTCTCTGCTAGTGAATATTGAGGAACAACTTCAGAAGAATAACTGAGAGTCAAAGGCCCACAGCAAAAATTGTCAAACTTCAGTTCATGATGTACACCATGACACTCATTTCGTTTTAAGTCATCTGCAGCACAAATATCTAATCCTTAAAAAAAAAAAAAAGCTATTTTTCATTCTCTAGTGTAGAAAATTTAAAGTAAAATATTGGTTAAGAGTATACATCTTGTTTAAAATTTATAAACTATGTGTTTAGTCATCCAAAATGAGCATCCCTAGTCTGACATTCATTCACCCAATCCATCTAAACCAATGTAGTGATAGTTTTACTTCTGTTCTTTCCCATCTTTTCTGCTACCTACAGGCAGTAACCAAGTTATGCTAACTGTAACAGCAGTATAACAGTAACGAGGTCATTAAAAGATAAACAAACGGCACAAAGGGCTTCACACAAGAACAAAGGGTCATAAACTCACTAGAGAAAGACAGAAGTGATACCTCCTCTCTAGTTCTATGATGGCAGCATGGCTTTCCAAACTGATTATTAATTTTCCTGAAGAACTATTTCCAAGTCAGCTACCACAACACAATATGCAAATTACCCTAGAAAATGCACCCAACTGGCAAGTTATTTTTGCAAAGATCAATTACCAAATGATAAAAATTAATAAAAAGCAACAAAGGAGTGAATGTTTAAAGTGTGTGCGTGCGCGCGTGTGTGTGTGTGCATGCACATGAGTGTAAAAACTATGCACACCTGCAGAATCTGAAGGCATTTAGGCATTTTTAACCCTATCTTCACTGTTGGAATAAATACTTTACAACCAGGCTGTTCCTCACTAACCTTTGCTACACAACTGGCCAGCAACACCTCTGGCGAGACGTGGAAAAACTTGCTCTGGTAAATATGAAGTCCCAAAGTGGAATACTACTTGAACAAGCTGAACTTTCTAATCCATTCATGCCTGAGTTAATGAAGACTGAAAGCTCAGTGGACCCGATTTCATTAAATTGAATTAAGTGCTTAGATTAATAATACGCCTTCAAGTCATCATCTTTTTAACTTAACATTAAGTATTTCACATAAATCCACTTTAAGATACCTGATAAAGGTACCTAAAAAAAGACCTCTATACAAATGCCCAGGCACAAAAATTTCCCCAAACCTCAATTTACACAATCAAGAAAACAAAAACACCAGTAAGCATTCTGTAAAATAGTTTATAACAAACAAGTTGTTCCAGGTTGTTATTTTTCTTCAAGTCTTAATTGTGAAACTTCTTAATAGTCTTAATTGTGAAACTTCTTCTTCTTCCGATTCTTCTTCCCTGCTGCAAAAGCTGCTTTTTCACTCATGATCTCCTGATACTTCCTTTTATTATATCTGAACAAAATAGATAATTTACTTTTAAGCATAGTAAATCAAAATGCAGGAAACGAAAACACTCTACATAAAAAAATGGCCAGATTCTCTCATTTCTCCTATGACTAAAATTACTTTTATACACTTATGTCTATGTAAGAGAAAATCAACACTAGAATCAATGATAAATGCAAATAAACTTGTTTCTGAAATAAGTTTGATTAAAGAATCAAGAATATTTGCTCATCCAATGATTTTTCATTAAACAGGCAATCTCACTTTCAATATTTGGCTAAAATACTGTTACAAATTTCTCATAATGGGAAAAGCTCATCAATATCAACATTATAGGTAGTTTATACTGATTTTTATGCTACTGTCTTAAACTAGAAGATAATCAGCCTCTATTCAATACTGAAGGATAAGATTAACATTAAAGAGCAAACAGGACTAATAGGATTAATATTAAGAGCAAACAGGACATGCTTGCTAAATATGAATCACTCAGAATTACTAAGTTTGTAAGTATTACTTAGAATTACTAAATATGAATTATGAATTGATTAGTCACAGTGTAAATTAATTGATCAAATTTAAGAAATATTCATATTTTAAAGTTACTTCTACCAAACACCCTACAAGCCATGTAAAGCAGCAAAGGAATTAAGAATATATATAAAAACTTGATTTCAAGCCTGACATATAAACTTTTCTATTCCAAATCAGGTACTATTTACAAGAAAACACAATATAATAGAGAAAAACAAACAAACAAAAGAAATGCACACTAGCATTATGTAATAACCAATATAAAAATGGATCACTAGGGGATATACTCCAAAAATACTATCTTGGAAAAATAATAATTCATTCAATCATATTCCTTAAGGAAGAATTCCACAGCAATTTTTTCCATTTTGATAAAATGAAATCCCATGAACTTTCATACAAACACTATAGGCTGCAGTTTTCTATCAATTATTCCTAAAAAGTATTCATCTTTCAGCCAAAGCATTGCTTATGCACAGACATAAGAACTCATTTCAAGTTTTTATTTTTGGTGCATGCCTGTGTGAACATCTGTTTTTTGAAGTTAACCAGAACAGAGCTGATGACTTTTCTTTAACAATGTCAGTGATAATCTGACAATCTCAGAGCTGGATAAAACTGCTTTATGAAGATTAAAAAAAACCCACCTTTCTAACAGTCTAATTATCCCTTATCCCTCAGAGGTTCTCAATGGCAGTCCTGCAGAACTGCTAAAACAGACCTATGCTAACTTCTTAAAAATATTAAATGCATATATATATATATAAACAGAATAAAAAGAAAAAAAAAGTAGACTAGTTAAAACACAGCTCTCACACATATAGGATTAGACTTATGATTTTTAAATACCTTCTAAACTCAGAATCTGCAAGCAACTCTTCAACAATTGTTCTCTTCCTTTGTTTCTTGGGGATTCGACTGTGGTAAAAGTCTACAGGAGAATCAACCACAGTTCCAACCTAGAAAATAAAATTTTTAAACAGTCTTAGTGTAACAGCAAGATGTTCACAGTTCTGCTCTATTATTTTTTAAATCTCAGTAACAATTTGGGTAGAATACATCTATGTAAATGACCAGAATGGTATCATTAAAAAAGAAAAGGGGGTAAACCATTTTAAGATGTAAGCAGTGTTTTATATGCAAAGTAACTTTTTTTTCTTCCCCCCCCCNATTTAGGGTACTCAAGAAGAGGGTTTGAATTTTGAAACTATATGGCTTTCAAGACTGAACTGCTGCATCAACATTTAACTTCATAAGCCCAACCTAGCTCTCAGCTTCTGAACAACTGAATGTCTGGAACATTTTTCCAAGGAGGGTAAGAAAAGTCTCTTGACTGTTTTAACTCTTTCCTATCTCTATCAGTGTTTCTGCTAGATGACTAAACAATAGTAAACCCTGTTCTGTTTTAGTATCTCCAACCTAAAAAACATCAGATTTGTACCAGCTGGCTTGTTAGTCAGTTCAGCAGTAGAGATACATAGTGCAATTATTTCATGTTGTAAAAACTGACTACATCTGTTTTTTGCTCGTTTCTGTCCCAATATTTTCATGCTCAGAAACTTCAAAACACATACAACAACCTGAAGTGAAACAGTATTATTTTGAGAAATGTCAACCATTTCCTCAAGTATGTTACCTCATCAAACAGATATATGTACATGGATATCAGGCCAAGTTCTATATATTCTTCAATAATTCCCCATCAGAAAGCTTTGGGACTACAGCAGGAGAAATTCTATCTTATCAAGCAGTGAGTTGATCCTATTCACAATATATAGACTAGTAAAATAAATATTTATTATTTTCTGCACTCCCATTGAAAAGAAAAAAAAAGGGTGACAATACAGTCCCCAAGGGCTAAGAATAGTGATTAGAAAGTCAAACATTTGCTCTGTTCCGTACAAGTTTAAAAAATTTAACACAGTTGTATACTGTGAAGCCAAATATTAAGATATTTTAATAATGAGCCTATGAAATTAAATTAAAAAAAAACAGACGCTGTGAATAAATTAGGTAGAGAATAAGGATAACTGCTCAAACCTATGTTAAGTAGTATTAAACACTGGTGCTGCTTTCTTACCTGGAAATATTTTGGTAAACCTTCTCTGTCATTCTTTTTATAAAAGTGCTTAGGGTCCAACGAAGCTCTCATCTTCAAAACTTTGAGATCATTTTTCAGTTCACTTGTGATTTCTGGGGCTTTCATACCAAACCAACTATCACCTGTTGTCTTCTCTCGCTCTGCCTATGATAACAGGAATAATCAAATTACATTCAATAACCAGGACAGAGTTCCTCACTACCCAAAAACATACAGCAATTACAAATGATCTTTGTATCTACAGAAAGGATATCTTATGGCCATTATTAGCAGGCCATCAGAGCTATATTAATCACAGATTTGTACTACACAAAGGCATTACCTTTCACTTCAATTTCATTGTTACTTAAATACCTAAAAAAAAATGTGTAAGGCAGAAAGTGTTAAGATATGTAAAAGTTGTTCTTGTAAGATCTACAGAGAAATAAAACTGGAAAGAGTTCCCCACTTTAAAGCTCCCCTGTTGAATCGATGTTGTAGTTAAGTGGAGCCAAAGAGGCATGGATTCTACTCAGGGCTGATACATCAGAACTTACTTTTCCAAACCTCTGACTGACACAATCACCAAACACAGCTTGCTTCCACACAACTGCTTTTCGTAAGATTTCCTTTCACAAGGAAGATCTTACAGTTCATCGTTCCTCTACCATGTGAGGCCTCTATGTGCACATAGCCCCAACATGGGGTTTCCAACCTAAAGTCCTGTTTTGTCATTTGAAGGACTAACTCTCCATTCACCTTGCGCTGTTTCTTCAGCTGGTGAAGGGACTCCCTAAAGGGTGGAACACATTCCTTTTTTTCAAAATCTGGAGTTATTATACTCTTCTGTAGAAGCTACAAGGAAAAAAAAAAGAGAAATTTAGTAACAAATAACATCAGTCTTACAATAAGAATTTTACTGCTCACTTGCATTAACAGAAGCTACCAAAGGAATGATGTAGGATCTAAGCAAGCACTAAAACAAAATACTTTTGAGTAGAAAATAGCTTCTTCACAAAGAAGACAGCAGTGACCTTCAAAACAGAAGGAGGGAGCAGTAACCTGACCAACAACAGAAAGCAGCTGGCTACCTTTGAGAGAGAGGGGATAGTGAATATACCAGAGTAAAAAGAGTTACAGCCTAAGAAAATTGTCTCAATAAAAATAATGTATTTTCTTTCTCACAAAAGAGATCTGAGATACAATTACCAATCCTATATTAGGAATGGTATATACCTGAATTTAGAGAAATTTATACTTGCTATGAACTATACCCTGTTATCAGACCTTCAATGGATGTTAAGTAAAGCAACAGACACAGTTAAGTTCTCTTTATTGTACAGGGTAATTCTGGTATTTGCACTGCTTTTCAGTTTCTTATGCCACATATTTATATTATCAGTAATAAAAGCAAAGTTATATACACTTTTTGGCCAGAAAAAAAAGGGTCTCCACAAAAGAGGAAAGCAAGATATATCTTTATAAAGAAGCAAAACAGAATTATTAAATATTTTTGTGTTACTGTAGATAGTTTACTGTGCAACTGTAAACAAATTACCTCATCCTGCTTTTTCTCCTTCAGTTGCTTAATCACATTTGATCTAGATTTTTGTTTTTTTGCATCAAAGCTAATATATAAACCTCCAAGCTTCTTAATATTCAAACCAGGATCTATGCTGCTGGACAGATGTAAACTGAAAGAAAAAAAGCTAAGTAAATAAAATTCACAAGCACGTAGTTAAATCTACAGTCCTATGAGAAAGATAAACACAGAAAACATTTTCGTCTTCTCAAAAAAGTGCAGTACTGAAAATCTATCTAGAATCTATCTAGAAAATTAAGAGAAAAAAAACTATTATATGAAGTGAATGTTTAACAAAAAGCACGAACAGTAGAACTACTTCTAAAAATCCTTCATGTATTAAACAAAATCCTTAGTTTTAGTTTTGAATGGATACTTAGACAGACACACACATATATTTAGACACCTAAATATTATGTAACTCTATTTTATAATCTGAAAAACTCCAGTTTCATGTCCACGACTTTGTGATGACAAAACTTCCTCACTTATTCCACAGCATTTAGCCTGTATGTACATATTCTATGTGCTTCCCAAATAAAATGAAGATTCTTTAGTTATTCCCCCAAAGATACTTACACATTCTTCTTATTTTGCAACACTACTTCTTGTTTATCTTTCTCCTCTTCATCTATCAAATCCTCTTCAGCATCTTCCACATCTGAGGATTCCTCACCTTTTGCACCTCCTTCATGCTCAGTTCCAGCATCACTAACCAGGTCTACCCGATCTAAGTAATACTGTTGGCTAGAACCCATGCCTGGCTCAGTATCGATTACAAAAAGCCCTTCGGCATGGAGTGTATCTTCTTTTAAAGATTTTTTGAATGAAGGTGTTCTCTTATTTGCTCTAGTGTTAATCAGTTCCTCTTCCTCTATACATGTGTCTGCTATATCACTATTCTCAGATTCATCGCTTTCATCTTTATTCAGAAATAATGTGAAAGAATCATTTTTGCTGTTAGATCTTCCGCTGCCATGTGATTCAGGTTCGCTGTATTGTCCCGTTTCATTTTCATCACTGTCTCCCCCAGTTTCAAGCATTCTGGATTCACCACCAATGCTACCAGTCACTTGTGCAATAGCCTTCTCCTTTTGTGGGCTGCTCACTACATCACATGGCTTATCCACACTCAATTCATCAGCATGGTTGAAAGACTCCTGTACAGCTACCTCATTATCTGCTCCTTCCTGCTGGAGATCTTTTTTGCTTTTATTTGGTGTTACTTGCCCTGGGGATTTTAAGGATTGTTTGACACTCGTGTGGTCAGTCAAAGCAAGATCCATGCTCTTTGGTTCCTCCCCTGCCATATATATTTGATTGCACTTTTCTTGTACTTGGCTACATACTTCCTTTGAACCATCTGCAGCAATAGCTTGTATATCCTTTACTGCGTTTTTTCTAGGCGATTCTGTGATACTTCTTTGTGTTACTTTTGCAGGACTGCTGGGTGTTGTGTCATTCAAAAAATCTTGTTTCACATCTTCACTCAGGGTTGTATTAGCAGATCTGGGAGAATGTTTGCTCCTAAGAGGACTTGGTTCTTTATCACCCTGAGCAAGAGAGTCTTCTGCCTCAGAGAGGCATTTTGCAGCAGGTCCAGAACTAGAAAGTGTTGTTGGCTCCAATTTAGCTGTGTCTTCAATTAATATCTGATCTTCGGAAGCAATTTTATTTGCTTTCTCAATCTGCTCAGCATTTTCTTTTTGTGACTTCATCTGCATACTCCTAGTAATTCGTTTGGTAGTGACAGATGGTTCTGTAAGAAAGCAGCATGTCTCTGCATCAGAAACATCTTCGCCTTGGGCTTCAAAAATTGGTTCTGATTGCACTTTTTTTCTCCTTTGCCTGCTTCTTGTACTTTTGGTGACATTAGGCGTTCGGACACCAGAAACAGCAGAAGAACAAGACTCTGCTTCAGAGACATCATCTTCATCCTGAGTGTTCATTAACTCCTTTAGAAAAGCTGTCCTGTCTTGCCTTCTTTTGGCAGGAGAATCTGGCTGATAAGGAACTACTATCTGTCGTCTTCTTGTCACCCTTATGATCAATGGTGTCTGAAGACCAGACACAGAAGAGCAATTCGATTCAGTTTCAGACACATCCCCATCAGCTTGCGGTTCAGCAACTGATTTTGCAACAGTTTTGCCCTGATTTCTAGCTATTTGCATCTCTACAGTATCACTGACATCTGATTTTGCTTCTGCATGTTCCAGCTCTTCAAGTTGGGATTCAGGAATGACCTCCGGCCTGCAAATTGCTTTACTCCTCCCTCTGGTCATCCTCATAGATACAGGAGTACTGTTTTCAGCAGATGCCATCTGGAATAAAAAAGGAATAAAAAAGCCTGCTATTCACAAATAGGACAATCTCAAAGAAAATATGCTTTATTAAACACTAATCCACCCCCTTTTTTCTTTTTTAATGTTTAATCCTAAAAGGCTCTAGAAGGCAATGATGGGAGGAAAACCCAAAGGTAACATTCAGAAAGATCTTTCCCAACTACAAAACACTCGGGCCTAGCAACGGGCCCAGACATCCCCAATTGCCTGGGCTATCCAAAATCCAAGCCGTGCTAGCGGCTGTTTCAGCTGCTGCAGGCAGGGAGCGTCTCCCCGCGTCACCCGGCTCGCAGAGGTGACTCCGTGCAGCGAGGCGCTGCGCCGCAGGCAGGCGCACCCCGCCGCTGCAGGGGCCTCCCGGCACGGCAGGGCAGGGCAGGGCCCGGCGCCGCGCACCGCAGCGCGCCGCGGAACCGCTCGGAGCGCGGCCACGGCCAGGCCCCGCGGCCGCCCCGGCCGGCAAGATGGCGGCCGCGCGGAGCCGCAGCGCGCGTGCCCCGCCCCTCCCCCGCGCCCGCGTCCCGCGTCCCCCGCGCGCCCGGCCCCGCTCACCTGGCCGGCACCGGGGGGCTCCCGCCCGAGGGGGCTGCCCCCGCCCCGGCCCGCCGCGGGCTGCGGCTCCCCGCGCCGCGCCGCCCGCCTCGTGGCCACCATGTTGCCCGCGCCGCCCCTTCCGCGGGAGGCGCCCGGCCGGCACCGCCCGCAGCCGCCCCGGGGAGGGGACACGGGCCGCGGGGTAGGGCGGTCACGAGGGCGGCGCGGGCAGAGGGAGGGGGCGGGCACGCGGGCGGCACGGGCCGAGGGCCCTTCCGTCGGGGCGGGCCGCGCGAAGAGGAGCCCGCGGGGCTCCCGCCTCTCGCCCCTTCCCCCACAAGCGCAGGATTCAAACAAAACAGGGATGAAAAGTGTACATAAATTTCAATTTTAATTCAATTTTTCAAGCTCCCCCGCAAGGAAATCCCATCTCTCTCATTTTAATGCGAAACAAGTCAGTAATCAGAAACTCTGATAAATTGCGACCCTACAAAAATAAGATCTCTTAACATACTTTTCTATAGCAAGAGAACTGTTAGTGGTTTACAGTAAGGAAATAAATAATCATCCCGACAGGACAACCTGTACATGTTTCAGCACAATTCTTATTCTGCAGGATTTCAATGAGTAAGACGAGCACAGGAGCAAGGCGGGTACAGTGCAGGATGGCAGCAGCTCACCACACACAGCGGTCAGTCTGAGCAGCACATGGCTCTAGGCTGGCAGAGAAGTCTGAAGCGAAACTCCTCTTACTTTGCAAATCTGATACACCACAACAACTCCTCACAAAATAAAAAGACTAAATCTCAGTTAAGAGAAAACAAACAAAACACACACACAAACATTTTCTTGTTTCATTACTAGCTCCAGCTCTCTCCCTGATATTTAACAAAACAACTGAAGAAAGTCTTGGAAAGCTTCCTACAACTTGCCACATACAGATAAGATACTTAAGGGTTCAAAAATATCTTGATAAAAGTTAACATTTTGAATTAATGGAATGTATTATAGTAAGCTGATACTTCTAGACAGTGCCTACAAGCATTAAAATGCCACCAGCTGACAACAGAGTGAAGTTAACTCTCTCATGGTCCAAAGCTCAAAACACATAAAAGTTAACAAGTACTAACATAACGCCCTCTTATTATCTAAAGTCACTAAGAAAATGCTTATTTGATTTTAGAAGCTTAGCATCAAGCCCCTGCCAAACTGCAAGTTTCAGTTTTGGTGTCTATTTTGATCTAGAGGCCCAGGAAGTGGAAAGGGCTGCTCAAGAGACAGGCAACACGGAACGTGCAGCCTCTCACGAGCCGCAGCCTCTCGGATGCAGAAGCCGGCGGCACAGAAGGCATCAAGAGCGCGCCACACAGAAGCGCGCATGGCTCGAAGCTAACGCTAGTGCCATTTCTGAATGGCACTCAAGCAACAAAGCTTCCCAGGCAACCTCCAAGTCAGCCCTTGTACATGATCGTACAACAAGCAGCCTCACAGTTACCCTCTCCTCTGTGGCTCCTGAATTAAAAAAGAAAAAAAAAGTGCCACAGTTGAGAACAAACCAATCGCATTATGATTTCCAATTTACAAAATTTTCATCACTTGCTTCCAGCTCTTCAGGTAATCACAGCATAATACACTTTCTACTTCAAACTATAAAGATGCCATCACCCTTCTACAAAAATTAGAGGCACAAAGAGGCCAGCAGGACTTCAACTAACACTCAAAGTAATCCTGGAGGTGCGTTCTCCCTCACCTCCCAAAACAGAAGTCTTTTATAACATATTAAAAATGAACCAATTTTCCCATCCACACAAATCAATCAGCTGATGTGCCTACATTAATGACATACCAATTTATTTTTTCCAATAATTTTTCATGATAGGTTTAGTTATCTATACAAATTATTCTTTGAAAGTCTGAACTCTAGGTACCTACCTGGTTAGTAGCTATTAATTTAAAGAAATTCAACTTGTTAAAAAATAAAATATACATTTTTTTATACTACCTGAGGGTAGCTAAAATACAGTGATAGTTTTACAGTGCAGTGGTCTTATAACAGAAAAATATTTTGAACATTTGCTTTATAGATAATTTCAGTTAGAAAAGAGTTTAGTGAAAACATAATATTTCGTATTTTAAAGGAACTGGTGAGTAGGTTAAGAAAGAAAAGTAGTATCAGAACACGGCAGACACTTTTGCTGACACCGCTTTGAAAAATTACAACTTCTGGACTTTGTTACAGCTGTTGTGAAATATTCCTACAAAAGCAGCAATGTTCCCCTTGTCCCCAAGAAGTTTAAACAGCAAGCTATTGTAAAAATGAGGAAGTGTTTTAAGAGGCATTTCTTCTAGCTTGTAAGATAAAGCCTTTTGACTTGATAATTCCTCTGCTTTTAACAATGACTGAATACCGGAGAAGCCATAAAGGAGTCCATTCGTGGGCTTTCGTGGTCTGGATGCTTTCTTGGAGAACTTCTTGGAAGCTTGCTTCACAGAGCAATTCTAAAGTTAAAAAGGGATATTCAAGCTTTAAATAAAGTTATGTAAGCAGATGGAAAAAAAAAATAACTGAGAGGCTTTTGCTTACAGTCAAAAAATCTTAAACTGTACCAAATAGTTCCATTCTTCTGCAATGCTCTTGAATATTGAAGAAATTTAAGATACTTGCTTTTGCCATGTCAGTAACAACCAGAACTAGTTACTTGACATTTTAATTTAAGTAGTCTAACAGCAGAACAATTAGCAAGATATACCAAAGATTAGGTTTGAGAAGTCAGCTAGACAAATCTGAGGTGAGTAAAAAGCAAGGCGGAAATCAGCAAAGTACTGAACTTGCTCAGATACCACAAGATGTAGAAATGTTCCCATAACTGAACTTTTTTTGTCAGACAGGTAGAGCCTGCTGCTCTACCAATGCTTCTATTGCACCAAAATTAAGAAAAAAATGGGCTTAAATGTCGTTGAAATACCACAAAGTAGAAAAGAAGGTACAAACCAATCAAAGAAACAATCTTTTGAAAGAGGAGAGTTCCAGAAAGTCACTCCATATTCTTTAGTCGTCCAAAACAGATAACGTTAACAAGCAACACAAGAAAAAAACCAACTCTCCTTGCTTTGTTCTCTACCCCAAATTCTCTCCTCCACTTCAAGATCGTTGATAGAGGATTTTGATACAGTATGAAATTGCAGGTTTAATTTTGGACTTCACAGGAAATGAAAACTGCCAGAGAAAATTGTCATTCATCTTCTGTGCTGCAGGGACAAGTCTTGATATGCACTCAAGACTGATCAAACTCATGACATAGGGATTATAATATGGTAGTTTGAATTATACATATTTTCAATATGTATGATGAGGGGGAGGGTAAAGGGGGGAGAAGACAAGAGAAAGAAAAAACTCTAAACATGAAGAAAATAGTAAGGGAATGAGCAAGACATTGTTCAAGACTTTTGTTTTACAATTCCAGCAATATATTTAGCAATATATTATAAGCAAGGAATATTAGACAGGGCCCAAGTGAAGCTCATGCAAGATCTCACAGTATTCTAGGAAGCTGGTAACTCAGTTCTAGAATTTAAAGGAAAGTCTCAAAGTCCTTCAATCATCTTTAAAAAAAATCATTGTTCTAAAAGAACACAGAATTTACACTAACTTCTCATAATATTGTGATTTGTAAAAAGTCACTTCTTAATTTAGACAAGCCATCAAAACTAAATTATCGAAATCAACTGTCCATGAATGCTATTTCACAAGCTGTTTCAAAGTTTCTACAAGTATCTTCCATTTATCAATTACTAGACTCCAGTAATACACCTCATTTAATTCTATATTTTTGTCTGTAAATAATCAATTTTTGAACAGTATGCAGTACATCGTTCACAATGCTTTGCTGCACTTGCTTTTTTAATCCTCCAGTTACAGCTACTTCAAAAGAGTATCCTAGTCTGTAAGATTGCTTCCATCTTTGTAGCAACAAAAAATTAGGAACTTAACAAATATTTTATAAGGGTATCCTTCAAATTCTTGGTGCTGAATTCAAATGCAACAACATTTGAAGCTCAAAGAAAGCTTACTCCATATTTGGTACAGAATATATGTACTTAGAAGTCTTCTATTAAATTATCTGGCAAAGTCTTACCTTTTGGATCATTGTGAGTTAATAGCTGTATGTCAAATTGTTTTGCAAATGCTGTGAGATCAGGTGGCATAACACAACAGGAAGCTAGATTTACCTGGTTACTACTTGGTTTCACCTGGAAGTAACAGAATATTTTTATAAGAAAACAAAATATGAACGTACTATTTCAGTTGTTTCCCAAAACCTTCTATTTTAACAGAAACACTGCCTGAATAATTTGCCTTTGAGTGTTGTTTTGAGGTCTGAACAAGAACAAACCTAAATCTGCAGAGTGCTGAAGTGGCAATTCCTTCATCTGCAATTTACTGAAGCCTAATGTCAAATACTGCTACAGTTAAACATATACCAGTGCATTCTGGCTTCTGCTCTGCTGTACTCCCTAGAAGAACAGTTTTTTTTTTCCTTTTTTTTCTTCCTAGCAAAAACGTTACAGGGGCTCGAGACTGCAAAAGACCCCCCAATTTAAAATCCAGTTACTTTGTTAAGGATATACAATTTGTTATCTTTCAAGTCCCTAGCACCTAAATCAGATTAAGTTATAATGGAATCTCCTCTACCAACTCTGCTCAAAGGCTACACCCCAATCGTCATCTAACTGTCCACAAATGTCCCCAACTACAGTCCTCTCAATATATGCAACAGTGATGAGTACAAATGAAGATTTTTAGTACAGCACCTTATGCGGATATAGTATGCTTATAAAGTGCTAAAGAGCACAAACTAGAGGGGGAAAAAAAAGAAGGGAAGCATTCAAAGAACTAATCAGAAAACAGTATATTCACAAGCTTACACAAGGATACTACTAAAAACCTCCATCACTCAAACATAACTAGAGGCAAACAGTCACACTGGACAAAAAACTGCCTCTTGATTCACTGTCTGCCTTTCTTCTTATATTTAGCTTATTGCTTTAGCAGCATTTTCCTACAGAAAAGTCCTTCCAAGAGTAATAAAGCTGAAAATTTAAAAGGCTACTCTTTTAGACAGTCACTGAAATAAAATCAAAAGTTTTTTTTTTTTAAGTGTATTTATATTCCTTTCCAATACTATTTATGATCTTTCCCAATTACAATAGCATTCAATACTCAAACCTTTGCTACTTCAAAGCACCTGTTACCGAACAGATCCCATTTCTAATCTTTGCTGGTTTTCATGTAAGAATACAGAGCAAGCGATAATCACACTTGAATACTCCCTCACAAAAAAACATAGCAACCATAAGTAACATACAAAAAACACATGGCTAATTAATATTTTGTATATAAGACTATTTACAATATTTATTACAATGCAGCAATCAATGTAACTGTCTCAAAAATGCTACAAATAGGAAGGTTGTTCTCACCTGTGCCCATAGATAGAGCTGCTCTAACAGTACTTTATCTAAGTCAGAGGTACCTATGGCAACAATCTTTTTGCTTTGAACTAGATTTTCAAGCTCTTGCCAATAAGGTTGTAAATACTCCAAAGAGAGGCTAATTCCATCTTCAACAGGAGGTGGGGCGATAATGACAGAATCTAACTGAGCAACCCCAAGTGCAGAACATGCTGAGGAAAGAGAACAAAAATATTGTAAAACTGTGTGCAAGAACCTAGGCATCATGATACTTAAAAAAACCCACCACACACACAACGCAATACACAAAACATCTCCTGTTTACTGTGTTCACTCTAATAGATTTCAATTCATCATTTGAGAATATACTTTTCCAAGACAGTAATGGAATTGAGAGGGAATTGATACTCATCAGTTAAGTTCTAACCAACTTTCTCCACCAATTATACCCAAAATACAAGGCACAGAATATCTATGTAATGTTCTTATTATGAAAATTTAAACTGCAAGAGAGAGACAGCAAGTCTTGTAATGTCACAGAGCTTTATAAAGGAAGCAACTTTTGAGGTTTCTTTTCTGTATAGTAAAAAGAGTAAAACTAGAGTTACTAAATAAAATTCTCTTGCAAGATGATTCTGTCAACATATTTTTAGCAAATGACGATATGATTTAGAGTAAAGATACTATTAACCAGAATATAGCTAGAAAAGAACAATGCCTGAGGGATTCTTTAAGAATCCTTCAGGGCTAATCTTTAAAAGTGGCAAAGTTCAGTACTTGTGTTACTCAAAACTACAGTTATAGTAGACAACAGGACTTTAGACACCAGTACGGCCATGGTGCATTATTTTCAGTAAAACTTAACTACCTGGTCAGTTCCTTGTAGCATTGATCCTAAATATTAAAATCAGAATGAAGCCCTACCAAATGTAGGAGTTTTACACTTACCCATGTCAACTGCATCTCTGATTGATGGAGAGTTTGATCCAATGATGAAAAGTTTTGCTATTTTCAAAGAAACTGAAATCAGTAACTAAAACAAGCCAGCCATTACCAAACAGATATTTACTACTCATATACACTATACATTCTTAAGAACTTTCTCCCCCAAAAACTCATGTATACCAGCCACTTCAGAAAATTGAAAAATTGTTCTGAAAGGTGACCAATAAAAATATTGTTCTCTTAAATCTAAAATTCTGTGTAGTCTCAAAAGAAAACATCTAATGGACAATCCAAATAAGCCATAAAGCTTGACTTTAAGCATCGAAACACTCGGTGGTAATCATAACATCCTGTTTATAAAGCCCCAAACATAACAGTATAAACAGACCTCTTCACAACTTACTGAGACTCAAAATGTACTAGTGTTAGTTTGGACTGCCTCCATCAAGTTCATCATATTCAACCTGGAAAAGTTATGCAAATAAATGTGCTTCCAATGCTATTTCTTAATTGCAGAATTAACTTTAATAGTTTGCATCAGAAAAGTCAACTATGGTTCACAAAACACATAAGATCTGTTGAGAGGATGGAAGTTACAGTATATGAACGTAGAGCTCTTAATATCCAAAACATTAATCCTGGACTTTCTTGGCCAAAATCTAGATTGCCCAAAGCAAAGAAGGACAGTATGTATTACTGTTACTTCACTTGGCAATTACAAAACAATAAAAATATATGAAAAACATTAATACCAACATATGAAGCCTTTTTATGACCACTGGATTCATTTTTGGACTCTGTTCTTACCTGACACTTTCAACTCATCTCTTTCTTCAGGATTTATTTTTTCAATAGCTTGAGCTACAGTACATTCCACAACCTCCAATGCTTCCTGTAGTAAGCACACCACATTAAGGAACATGCATTGCCCGAAGACAGTATGAAATTCAAGAACATTTTTAAGTGAGATTCATCAGAAAGTCTTGCATCACAGAAACCAGAGTAATATAGGAGTGCAGTTACACAAAGAAGAAACTACAAAGAAGAAACTAACCCAATGCTTCTTGACTTCTACAAGGAAAGCAGAGGAAAAAGATGTGTGAAATGACATATATGCTCCTAACGTCAAAAGTGAATTACTGAGCAGTGTTGTTGGAATAAGCTTTGGCAGAGTTCTACTTTTCTAATGCGAACAGATCACTAATATTCAAAATGCCTTGCTAAAAATAATGAAAAAGGAAGAAAAAAACAAAAATGAGAATGCTTTACAGTACTATTTTGTAATTTCAATGAACCCAAACATGAAAAGGTTGAAAATATATTATAATTGATTTAAAGGTAACTATAATAAAAAATTGAAACATTTCAGAGGTTTCACACTCTGTCCACATCTAAGGCTAGACTGAAATCTTTGTACCAGCTGGTACAAAATAACCAAATGTCTTTTCTAGTATTTATCTTCACTTCTCTAGTGATCATTAGAACTTCCACAGAAATCACATGGCAATAACTGCTTCACCACACTCTAAGTGGAATACAGCAATTAGCAGTTTATGCCATGCTTAGCCAAGAACCAATGAGCATGAATAAAAAAAAAAAAAAAAAAAAAAAAAAAAAAAAAAAGGTCAGGAAAGTTACTAGGTGAAATGTTAATTTCTTGCAGAGTAAATAACGTTTTCAGTAAGAGCTCTTTACTGCTACATTGATCTTTGGAAACCAAAAAAAGATAATTAAAAAAAAAAAAACATAAAAAGAGCAGGCACATACAACAGATCTTGATGTCATTTGGCCAGGACCTTGGTTTTAATTACTAACCACCAACCTTTAGCTCTTAAAGACAAAAATAGCTAATTCTGAATCTTCAAGAATATTTCTGAGACTGTCAAGGCTACACTTTGAGTTGCCTTCAAACTGGGCAATTTTCAACTATCTAGTTTATCATCTCCATGAAAAAGTCAAAGTTCAGAAAATTATCTACTGACATTTTCTACATGCATGCTAGCAAATGCTGTTTGCAATACCCTCCCACAATAAGTTTGAAATTTCACTAACCAGGACATCTATCTTTCTAAGAAATGTCCTTCTCATCAACACAATTGTTTAACTCAGTATTTTCTATTCTTTTCAAGTTTAAGAAACATTAAGAAAAAGAAGAGTTAAGAAGATAACTGGAGCTGCAGATGCATTTATAGAAGCTTAATAGATTAATTTATATTTTAAAGGATATGAAAAGAAGAAATATTTAGCAGGTCACATGACATTCATGCATGAGATGCAATACATCTCCTACCTGATTTAGATCTTGTCCAATCTTTGAGCTCCATTCACTCAGGGTTTTTTGAATACAGTCCCGCACCTATAAAATATTTTTTCATATTCTGGTATAGTTATATTTGCACAGGAATACAGTGATTCAGAGGCACATAAGGAGGACTGACAGAATGTAAACTAATGGCACCATTCCTTTAACCGCAGAACATTCTTCCCTCATAGTTTCTACTTGAAACTTGTTCAAACTAGTTAACTACTTAGATGTTTTCTTCTCCTCTTTCATAGAGAACTTTAGTAGTAATTTAAGTATTGTGTTTCATGTATTTTAAGGTCAATGCCATCTTTAAAGAATACTTCTAAAGAAAGTAGAACTAGTTTTATTAATGCAGAGATTTTTAGGTTTGGACATAGTTGAATGCTAATAGTATATGTGCTACATTGTTAGAAACAGAGAGATGCATTAAATATTCAGTACATTCGTTAGGTTCATTCCTTTCTTTTTTTTTTTTCTTCCCCATAGGCATCTAACCCTTGTCCTTCACTGCCCGCCTATTCCACTGCGCCACATTATTAATGCCTTTAAGGCATCCATTCTGAAGGTGGAAATTAAGATCTTATCTTGAAGTTGCATTTTTTCTGCATCCACAGACACAAAAGTCATTCAGGCAGAATTTTGATCATGGGGCTTCTTAAACATAATATAGCATTACTGCTAAGTCTCAACAGGCTAATTAACTACATATTGTACCAATGTTTCAGCTACTTCAGTGTTCCTGGTTCCCACTTAAAACGGTTAGGAATAGTTATTCAGTGCCTAAGTAAAGATACCCTTTACTTAAGTAAAGGTAAAGTCAAACCAGTTACCTATTGCAGGCTGAGGCCCTTCATGAGTCATTGCTTTACTTCACTTTTCAACAGCGCTTTTTATCTGCCTGTACACTTTTTTGTGTGTGTTTATTTTTAACTCAACATTCAAAAAAAAAAGAATTGCAATTTCCTGCAGCAACTAGCATCAACCCAGACAGCCCAATATAATATCAGCAGCTTGTATGAACTGACAAGCATCAAAGCCAACTCACCCCTGCCCATAAGTAAAAGCAGTTAATACATAATACAGTAAAAATTTTCGTGAATACAAGTTCCAAGCATTCACTCCTAGCCATTTAAAAAATGGGTGAAAAACTGAATCAAAAAGCAAGGCAAGTATCAATCCCCTCTTTCCTCCCCTAAATAACTAACCACAAAGCTGGAACATCTTCAGTACACTCTGCTGTAACTTATGTTATCTCTTCCTCTCTGAGGAAAAGTGCTAGTATATGCCTCATATACTACATAACTCTCACACTCTGCATTCTCATCAAGTCAATACGCACTAACCTCTGTCCCAGCACACATGGTTTCCTCTCTGCCCTCCTCCCAACACTTGCAAAAAGTCAAACTCTTAACTTAGTTCACATTCTGCAGAACTTAGCCTTAAACTCTTGGACTTAAAAATCTGCACACAGATTACTCTAAAGAGAGCAAATAACTCTCAAAACCAGACAGCCTTACGTATAACCACAGATCTCTCTTCAAACAAATGAAGAAAAAATCTTAATTGATTTGGTATGCACCACTTTCAAATAATCCTCAAAGACCACTGACACAAGGCTGACTTACATTACTGCCAGCATTTCTGGTGCTGAATCTAGCCCTATTTCACAAAGGGCAGAAGGCTGCCGTGTGATGGTAACTTTTTAGCTTGGCCTCGTTCCACACTAAAACAAATAACTTTCATATGATGAATTCTTCCTTCTTATTACATCATCTTTCTAGCTAGCCTTTTTTGTAACAATTGTGCATGATTTGTATGTTATCAACAGACTTCAGTACCTACAGTGTAATCTACAGATTACACCATTAATCAGCTGAAGTTAAAGCTCTCATAATTAAGTGACCATTTTCAGATTACTGTGTCATGATGAGACAGCAAATATAGTGCTTCTGAAGACTACAGCTTAAGGATTCCACCCATTTTTACAGGATTATCTAACAGCTGGCATACATTGCTAAAGGCAAATTAATATACTTTAAAATATTTATTTCTTCCAAAAAGGTTTCACAAAAATGCTGTCTTTAAAAAAAGAAAAAAAAAAAAAGCACAAGAGGTAATTGGAGTAATTTAACGTTAGAAAACGAAACTGTCAGTCACTTGCAGTGTAAACTCATACCAGTATCTCTCTTGCTAAAGAAGCACCAGCAATCTCCTTGGGCATTACAGATCGCACTTAAGTCTTGTAACAATCATTATTCTTCAAGACGAGAAACACGGTCTGGTTTCAGCAGCCAGACCTGGACACAGCAAAGTTCTTGGTTTCACCAGGTAGGCGATTCGCCACGGGGGAGGTGGCAGGGCCTCTGGTCTGCTCCTGGCAAAGCCCCATCCGCTACCACAGGGCTCCTCGGCTGCCAGGTCCTTCAGCAGCCAGAACGTGGTCACCGCACGTGGGGAACTGACCCCCGCAAGGCGGCCAGCCCTGTCTGTGCTGCTCTTCTGACCACTGGACAGAGCTGACAGAACACTAACCTGCTCACTCTTAACTACGCTGCGGCACATAAAACAGAAAAACCCACACGACACCTGGTCGCTTTTATCGCGGTAACGGACACCAGAGGATGAAAGCACGGAATGAAGTACGGAAAAACGCACTTCACTCTGGGTATTTCTCACGCGCTCGGGGCTCGCCCGCTCCCGGCGGTGACGGAGGGTGCCTGGATGCACTGCGCAGCCCGCGATGCCCCGCGCCGCTCCGGCCCGCCCGCCGCTCCGCCTGCCCGCTGTGCTGAAGCTGCAGCGCCGCGGGCCGCTCACCTCCTCGCCGGGGGTAGCCGGGCACTTCTTCCGCAGACCGCCCCAGTTGAGCAGGTTGCCGGTCTGCAGGTTGAGGGTGGTCGCTCGCTCCAGGAGGGCACGCGCGGCGTCCGTCCCCATGGCGCAGCCGCGCGGCGGGGCCGAGCTCTCGGGGCACCTGCTGTGGCGCGCGGCGGCAGCTCTATCCTCTCGCGCCGTGACTAAGCAGAAATAACGTCGAGAAACCGCCCCGGTCACATGGCACGAGGCACAATGGGCGGCAGGGCGGGCCCGCCGCGAAGGGAAAGGACCCGATGGGACGATGAGCAGAAGAAGGAGGCGGCGGCCGCGCTCGGCGACGCCCGGTACGGAGACCCAACGGCCGCGTCACGCGCCCAACGGTCGCCACGCTCTGCGCGCGCCGCGCACGCGCACCGGCCCCCAGCGGGTGTGGGCGGTGCCCCCTGGAGGCGGGCGGTGGAACGACACCCTGCGCGGGGGCGGGGCGACACGCGAGAGGGGGCGTGGCGAGGCGGTGGGCGTGGCGAGAGGCGGGGATGCCCCCGCCGGCCTCGTGGCCAGAGCGCTCCTCCTCCTCAGGATCACCGAATCACAATGGTTGGAAAAGACCTTTAAGGTGATGAGCCCATCACCACCATGCCTGCTAAGCCATGTCCCTAAGACCCTCGTCCACATGTTTCTTTAACACTGACAGGGATGGTGACTCCACCACTTTCCTGGGCAGCCTATTCCGAGGTTTCACCACTCTTTCCATGTAGAAATTCTTCCTAATACCCAACCTGAACCGCCTCTGGTGCAACTTGGGGCCATTTCCTCTTGTCCTATCTGCAGTTATTTTGGAAAAGAGATTGACCTCCACCTCATTACAATCTCCTCTCATTGTAGAGAGCGATAAGTTCTCCCCTGAGCCTCCTCCAGACCAAACAATTCCAGCTCCCTCAGCCGCTCCTCACAAGGTCTGTGCTCCAGCGCTTCACCACCTTCGTTGCCCTTCTCCGTACACCAACACCTCCATGTCTTTCTTGTAGCAAGGGGCCTAAAACTGAACTCAGTATTCGAGGTGCAGCCACACCAGCACTGAATATGGGGGACGATCACAGCCCTTGTTTGAGCTGGCAGAGAGGAGCTGCAGGGAGGGTAGGAAAAGGAGGTCCTTAGTTATAAATAATTTGACTGAGCCTAGAAAATACCCTATTTTGGTTGTATTCCAGGCCATGCTTCAGTTTGCAGCAAGGAGAGTGAGAACTCTTCTGAAGTGATTCCAATGGGGGTATTTCAAGAGCTGTGTAAATCAGGATGTTACTGTGTGCCTGAACACGTTGTTTCACACATTTTCTATTAGCTGCTCTCAAACTTTAGTCATGGCACTCTGAGTCTCACTGTCAAATTTTAGTGGATAGGATATGAGGGAAAAGGCCCGGAAGGACACCAAATGCTTACTTAGTTGTGTTTTCATTTTGATGAAACTTAATGTTTAATTCAGGGTACATTACCCCAGTTTCCTGCCAGCAGGTTTGAATGAGGATAGGCAGGACGAGATGTGAAATGAGTCACTGCAGTGACTCAGGACCAGGGTTTGGGTTCATTTTCAGACTAACTCGCTGCCCGAACAGTGCACACTGAGTACTGAAGCCATCCTGTGTTACGGAGCAGGGCGAGGAGGTCTCCTGTGCGTGACCCCTGTGGAGGGAAACATGAGCTCTAGGCTACAGCTTTGCTGTCAGTGCTGCGCCCTGCTCGTGTTCCTGCACACTTCCTCCCCGCGTGCATAAAATATTTTTAATATGTTTCAATTACTATCACATATTTGATATTTTTCCTTATATGAATACAGAATGTGTGGGTCTGAAACATACTGGTGGAAATGTGAATTGGAAAGTCAGCATTTTTTCCTCTTTCTTTAAAATAAGGGCCCAGAAAGATTAACCCGGCCCAGAGGTTAACTGTACAAACTCATAATTGCTCTGTAGCTGTTCATAGCTTTGCCCATTCTTACAGTAGCAGAGACTTCAGTCTTTCTGCTCCATCTCAGGCTTCCAACAAGAAGCCTCTTTTGTGTATGAAAGCCATCTAAGCATCTCTTCTTCCTTTTTTCTTTCTTTTTTTTTTTTTTTTTTCATTCTAACAGAGTCATGTTAAACTTGGAGGATTGCAAAGGGTTTTTACAGGATATATTACAGAAACATTTCTATCTAATGGAAATTTCTATCAGTGAAAAAGAAACTTCTCTCACAGCATGTAGGACTTGCTAATTTTTTTGCAATGTATTTTTTCTAACTAATTTAGCTCTAGGAAAAAAAAAAAAACCAAGAAAATAAAACAAACAAACAAACAAACAAAAAAGCCCCAAAACCAAGGTATCGCTTAATGAATACTGGTTGGAGGAGAAACAAGAGCAGCTTCCGCAGGGCTTTGTGCCACGCTCTTGGTGCTCGGGGCTGCGGGCACATAGATCCTGGCCGCATTCAGTTCTGCCATCGGTCACCCGCTGCTGCAGCGCGGGGTTAGTGTCAGCGGCAGAAGGGGCTCGGTCCTGGGTCTCCATCCATGAGGTCTTTGCTGGTCCGCTCACTAAGACACTCCACATCAGCGAGAGAGAGGAAAAGCGCCGAATTTCCTGCACTCGCTCTGTAGCGCCGGAGGGGGAACCCTGTCCTTTGGGACCCAGCGCCAGGGCTGTGCCCTCGGCAGCGGCGCCCTGCACCGACCCCGCCATCGCCGGGCGCGGCGAGCGCGGGGCCGCCGGCGGCGCGGGAGGCGGCAGCGGGAGGCGGCAGCGGGAGGCGGCGCGGGAGGCGGCCCCCGGCCCGGGGCGGTGCCG